CTATAAATTTCTGTTTTATGTCTTCTTGATCTTCCTTATACTGATCTAGGTTGTACAGTTTTTTTTGTAATTATTAAACAATGCTTATTATACATTCTTGTTTGGTGCAGATATTTGGTGGAAATGGCTTCAATTGTGATTATCCAGTGGAGAAACTAATGCGTGATGCCAAAATCTATCAGGTTGGTGTATGTTTAACTGATTCAAGTAAAAAAAAATTGTGTATTTCGTATAAATATTGTTGATTATTATAAGAAAGAAAAAGAAACTTTTGTTGTTAAATTACAGTTTCAGGTCATATGTTGTATAAAAAAACTTCTTGTACAATATCTACTAAAAACATTCATTTTTCTTTATTTATACTATACTTAGTATACAATACTTATACTTTAGATCTCTCTGTTTCATGGAAGCTAAAGTACCCTATTGTGGACTGTTTGTCCTATAGTTAACATAACATAATATTTTGGGACAACATGGGACCTGTTGGTCCATCTCAGCTGTTCCATCCTCTAAACTAAATTAAAATTATTTTAAAAAAAATCATATACTTATCAAGCTTTTTCTTAAACTCACTTAAATTTACTGCCTCCACAACATCTGAAGGCAAACCCATTCCAAAGGCCAACCACCCTGTTAGAAAAATGAAACTGTCTCAGCTGAAGATGACTCCTACCTTGCCAAAATTTATATTTGTGTCCCCTAGTCCTACTGTTCTCATTGTTAAATATAAAAAAAAGATGATACATCAACATTATCAATTCCCTTTACAATCTTAAACACCTCAATCAGATCTCCTAACTCTTCTTCTTTCAAGAGAAAGCAATTTGAATGATTTCAGCCTCCCAGGCACCCTTCTAGTAATCTTTCTGTGAACCCTTTCCAACAATTCAATGTCTTTCCTAAGGTAAGGAGCCCAAGACAGAACACAATATTCCAAATGTGGCCTAATCAGTGACCTATACAATGAAAACATAACTTCTTTAGATTTGTATTCAATATTTCTTTGAGAAACCCAAAATCCTATTTGCCCTAACACTAGCAACAGCACACTGCTTGGATGGCTTTAGAGACTGATCGACTATTACACCAAGATCCTTTTCCTT